TTTCTGTCAATGCTGAGCCAATGACAACAGAAGAGTTGAGTCATTCTCCTGAAAAACTTACACCCCCATTTTCTGCATTGCTGGATTGTGCTGCTTCATCATTTGTGACACTTTAAATGAAACTGCGTCCAGGGTGGACTGAGCACTCTGAAAAGCCCATTTCATTCTACCTACAGATGAATATTGTACTGTTCCTTCTGCTCTATTACACCACAGAGGAGAGAGGGGGATATAAAAAAAAAAACCCCTAAATTCGGTTTCTGAGTGTCTCATGCTCTCTGCAAAGAATTGGACTTATCACTGCAGTTCTCTGACTTGACTCTTCTCTTTATAAATGTACGGTAAAAAAATGCCCATTTCCCCATCCTTTGCCAGATTTGTCTTCTTGCAGTGGAGTTTGGTGTGCAGTGACGATGACTTGACGCAGCCTCTGACTTCATCATAGATCTCCTGCAGACACCCGTTGTTACTGAGTAACAGAGAGCAGTGCGTTGATAAAAAAGATGTCGCAGATGTTTGGAAAGCTTGTTTAGCCTTCTCCTAGAAACTGCTGTCCTCCTCTACATCTCAGAGTGTCAGTTCTGGGAAGTACAGGCAGTCATCACTGGACGCAGTCCTGTCCAACCTGCTTAGGAGGGGGGTTGGACCGGATGATCTCCAGAGGTCCCTTCCAACCCCAACCATTCTGTGATTTAGCTTTCATCCAGTACGTGTGATTCCTGATTGAGGCCAGAGGCATCACTCTAGCGTGAATAAAGACTACTACTACTATCTGCACTTATGATTTTAGGAGGCTCCTTGCTTCCTGTGGTGAAAATCCTCCAAATTAAAGACGGGATTGAATAAAAAAGCTGTTGCTCGGTTCCCACCACATTTCATATTTGGAGTTGTGATTTTTATCGCAGCTCCATCTTCAGCGTTATGAGAGAAACAGAATTTGTTAGCAGGGACCAAGTGGATAAGATCTTCCCAGGCCACGCTAAACTGATGCTGTGGAGTGACAATCACCTCAATCCAAAGATAATTTCTTGCTCATCACTGCAGAGCAGTCCCAAACCCTCCAAGTGTTGCAAAAGAATATTCTGTCCATGAAAACACTTGAGGAATAGGAAATACCAGAGTGATCCAGCTTGTTCACTCCCAGATAAAATAGCTCCATTTCTGATAAAGGCTCTGCCCCCTCCCACAGCATTTCTTGCCTTCTCTGTCACTGCTGACTCTCGTCTCCTCACAAAGGACAAAAGCTGATAAGAAGTCCTTCGGTTGTCAGCAGAGACAGATTGCTGGACTGATTTCCATCAAATGTTATTCCAGCAAGTTAAAATGCACCACTTTGCTTAAACGGAGAAAAATAAAAAGATAGATACAACACTTCACCCGAAAAAGAAAATGAAGTCCAGCTTTAAATAGAAAAAGACACAAGAAATGTCTTTTCACTGAAGGGTTATATTACAAAGCAGCTCTTTAAACTCAGAGGGAGAGCCTCTGGCCTGACAACCCAAACCCCAGGCACCAAGTTTAAGGGGTTCACATTCCCGAGGGATGCGGGAGGTGCAGGTGGCACACGAGTCACAGTGGAAACCAGCACCTTGTGCTTGCCTGTTTGCAGACAGATGGGCTTTTCTTCACATCAGACAGGCCCTCACGGCCTCTCAGCTGTGACCTCTGTGTCTTTTCAACATTACACCAAGGTATTGTGCACTTTCAAAACCAAAAGTTTAAATTCCGTGCTTGAGTACCAAAAAAGTACTAATAGACACCAAAATATCACGGCTGTTCCCTTGGAAAGGGCACATGGGAGCAATTCTGCCTACCTGTTCTTCTGGATCAAATATTTACAGCAGTAACGTTTCTATGGGCTGTTCAAGGGTGACTTTGTTCCAACGCAGAGACACCTGTATGAAATCCTTGTGTACACTGTGCTGTGTTTGTATAAGAGGTCTGAGGAGAGAAAGCAGCTATAAAACCTTAGGGGTTATTTACTGTGACAGTAGTACTGTGAAATTTCACAACTCCCTGCTCTCGCCTTTAGCAATTATCATCACTTAGTAACCAAAACGCTCCAAGTCTTTTACTGCAATATCAAACCCTCAGCATAGGAACCCAAGAAAAACATCCACCATGAGACTGTGTGTCTCTTAAAAGGACCAAGATGCAGCAAGAAGTATCAATCAACAAATGAAGGCGAGAAGGGTGGCTGAGTTCAGTAAGTGCATCAGAAGTGTGGGTGGAAACACAGACGGGCGTGATTTCCATGACACTGTCCCAACTGGGTTTGGGTTTACAAAGACAAGCCACAATGTCATTCCTCCTCATCACCACAAAGGACAAAAACCCATAGGTGTGTTTGATGGGGATTCATACAGGGCTATGACGTTTTCTTCTTGCTCACTTCTCATAAAACTACCCTATAATTCACCATAAGTTTTCCTTTCTTGGAAAACACACTGTCCAGCTACTCTTGTTCTTACACCAGCACAGACCCAGGGTGTAGAAACCACTGCCCCAGAAAGGCACCAGCCATGCCCCCTGTGCCTGCACTCAAATAAACTCACTTTGGCATGAAGGAGAACACACAGCAGAGAAATGCACATTACAGATGTCAGGAAATATGGGAATCCTTCAGCTTTGACACGGTGTGATGGCACTGAGGTAACACACGCCCTGAGCTGGACGCAGCAAAAACACATTGCCAGCTCATGTCGAGCTTCTCATCAACCAATACCCCCAATACCAATTATGAGAAAATTGATAAAAGCAAGGATCTCAGGTGAAGTGTAGAGCTGCTCTCAGCTGTGAATTGCAACCGTCTGTAGAGGCAGAGCTAGGTTAGTGATGGTGCTGGGCTCAGCGTGAGCTGGCAACGTGCGCTCACAGCCCAGAAAGCCAAGTGCATCCTGGGCTGCATCCCCAGCAGTGTGGCCAGCAGGGCGAAGGAGGGGATTCTGCTGCTCTACTCCACTCTGGTGAGGCCCCACTTGCAGTATAGGGCCCTCCTCCTGAAAATAAACTTTAGAGAGAAGTGCTGGTGGTCTCACGGCAGAGGTTAGCTTATACCCAACAGGGACATCGCAGGCAGTGACTGTGTCACTCCATGGCAATCCTCTGGTTTACAGCTGCCTGAGCCTCCAGCCTCTTGTTTAAAAAGCTCCCCTGCTCCAAAGCAAAGAGAAAACGGCCTGTGGAAAATGCACATTACCACGGGCATTCATCTTATCACAGAGATACACCGCTGTGCTGGTCTGAGCTCCGCTAACGAGCGTGTGCCAGCAGTTGCCACCATGAGACAGCCAAGGGAAAGAGCAGTGAAAGGAACTATCTCCCTCCTGCCACCCAGTGCTGAAATGTCACAGGGAGAGCTTGGAGTCACTCCCAGCTGCTGTGTTTCAATACATTATATTATTCTTTGCTTTGCCAACTGTGCAGGCAAACCTTTCTCACCTGTAAAAACAGATTTCCCGTTTGGATTCCTGTCCTGCCAGCAAACCCACCTGGGCACCACCGCGTCACCCGGGCCAAGGAGGGGAACCTTGAGTCAAAGCAGATGAGCAAGCCAGGAGAGATTCCTCATCGTGCTCTGCAGACAGGAGCCCTCCGAGGCGGCCACCGATTCATTCGTGGCACGATGAGAGGGACTCGAGTATAACTCGCCTTTTGCACTACCTTCAACTCCTGCCCAATTTCCCACATGGAGCACTGTGTGATGGGCATGTTCTGCTCCCCATCTGGAGGTCATGCATGACTATAACTTTATTGCGCCAGAATAAAATTCTTCTGCTTTATTGCTGCCATAAGGTGGTTTTGTAGCCTGTGAAATGCAAGCAGGAAATAACCTCCTGCTTTGAAGCCCAGCGCTGAGACATGCCAGTCACTGCGTTTATGGTTCTGCAACCCCTGGACTTCAGCAAAAACAAGAGTAGTTCCTGGCCTAGATATCTTTGTTTGTTGTAATTACTGCTGTGTAACTGTAACTAAGAAATCAGTAGGGCTGTTTTGCATCTTCTGTGATTTCAGCTGTGCAAAGGGTGTAGGTGAAGCTTTAGACCTCCAGCATTAAAGATTCCCTGTTACTTCTGTCTGACCAAACTGACTAGTGATGGAAAGTTTTGGGGTGCATCTGTTTGAATAACTCTGCAGCAGAGGACGTCTCACAGAGGCTTAGCTAGAAATTTATAACCCATGACTGCAAATCTACAAGCACAGACCTTAACCCCCCCTGCCCACGGTTGCCAACAAACCTGCTCTGACACGAGCACTGTCCTTGCTTAAAATAAACAAACAAAAACCCTCCCAAACTCTCTACACAAGGGGGGTTAAGACAAATAAGCTAATACAAGTGTGAAGCTGCTGCCAACAGACACATCTCTGAGCGAAGGCGCTGATCCCACACAGTTTAAACTCATTGCACCACATTCAAGCTTCCTCATCAGCTTTCTTGGTTGCCACAGGCAGATCAGAGCCAGGAGGTTTCTACTGCCCCTGCGCTGGGTGGAAACGCCATGACTCCACGGGATACCTCAGAAAATGAAGCAGAGACAAAGCCCCCAGAGCTCTGAGCTGCAGATATATGTAACCACCCCAACTGACTCATGCCTCTACTGCCGTTTCTTCACACTCCATTAAAGGATGACAGCTTCTGTAGGGAAAACTGGCTGAGTATGTTCATTTAAACCTGATCTGCCTCTGGCTCACTTCAAAAAATTAGTTAGTTGAGCAGCAAGCTAAAATGATCACAGTTCCTAAGAGACCATGTGATTCTCCAGATCTGTACAAAATATATAAAGTGCACAGCCATCATCTTTTCTGGTTAAGAAGCTGATACCATCAGGGAAAGTCAAAAGGTTAATTAATTAATTACTTTTTTAAAGAAGGAGATGACACAAGAGGGAACGTGCTATAATACATTCCCAGCACACAGGTGCTGATGTTACCTACAGAAGAGTTTGCTCCAAATACTTCCTAGCAGAAACAACTACTTTGAGGTGGCTGTAGGTACTTACATACTGCAGCAACAAAGCAGTGACCTTCTCTGGTGCTGGTCAGAGGGGAGCAACCGAGGTATGCAATTTTTCTTGAGAGAAAGCAGTTAAAACCATCACGGTGAACTCACTGCCCTCACGTTGTAGGCAGATGCCCAGGACAAGGGGACCTGAACAAGAGCCTGGGCCCCAGCTGCAGGCTCTGCCAGCTCATCACCCCAGGTGGAAGCAATAGGCAATCTTATCACAGAGGAGATATTTGTAAGTCAGGCCCAGCCCTGCTGGGCTATAAAGGGCAGCCTGGGGCCAAGAGTTGTGTTGGTTGGTGTTAAGTAGAAGCTGGGTCTCAGTGCTCCCTTGTTTAGGAAGCATGACAGTTGAGGAAGTGTCTTTCTCTGACAAACAGAGCTAAGCACCTTCCAAGATGCTGCTGATGTTTTCAATGTCTTCTGAATTAAATTATTAATTTACTCAATACTTTTCAGGTCATTAAAAGTCAAGAAACCAAAATAAACTTGGAGCTATGAGACCTTGAGGACTGATCCTGAAAGTCATTCTTTGGTGGCCAAAGCTGTGACCCTTAAGGCACTCCTGATGGGAAGGGGGGAAAAGATAAATGTGCTCACAGGGCAAGCTGCTTTCAAATGGCTAATTCTAAAGTAAGAATGACAGGATGTGCTTTAGGTGGGCTGTGAGTTCTCATAAGACAGACTTTCCAGGTAAAACAAGCTGTCCAGGCACTAATTGTGTCTGGCACCAGACACCTGGCAGCTATAAGATGTCACATGGCTCATTTTCAGCAGTTTCACAGAGAATAGTTATTTCTACCAGCACACATACTTTCAGCAAGTGCATTTTTCAAATTCTGCTCATTTCAGGCTGCTACTCCATGAATAATGTCCTTAGGCTGGTTTCTGTCAGGCTCTCTCTGATGTACCCCATGCCATTGCTTCCCTCGTGGGGGAAGTGTGGTAACAGCATCCTGCTTTGTGTTGCCAGTGAAATGCAGGCTTCCTAATCCCCCTGCTTGCTTTAGCTCTGCAGGGAATCAGCAGATCCCCAAAGGAAGGAGAAACTGAAAATTTGTCAGGACTTGAAAGCAGAAAACTACACCCTTCGTTTCTGATGAAACTGGAGGGACTTTTGGATGTGCACCCCACTGAGGATGAGATCTGCTGAAGCAGCAGACGGTTACCCTGGACCAGGCATTAGCTCTATGGAGCTGGTTTTGTGGGTTATTCCCTCATCCTGCTGCATCATGTAGAAGAAAGGATGAATGAGTGTGACTGCATTTTGCCAAGACTTCTACATAGGACATCATGGTGCTACACTAAGAGGAGATGTTCACTAGACTAAGAAATGGTGATGGTGGCAGCTCTTTGCATTTCTGAAAAGCAAACAGAAAAAAAAAGCAAAGCAGGAATACATGAAGAGACAGACGTGTGCATTAAAGAGTTTAGACAACATCTAATGTTTTTTAACATGGCTGGAAACAGTGAGTGAAAGCAGAAGGAAGGATGTAAACAGAGAGAGGGATAACCACCAGGTCACAGACCTGCAGCACAGAGAAGCCTCCATGACAACAACCCTGTAGGGAGGCACGGGTTGGATGTCACAGATACATATTATTTTCAAAAAATATTGTAATGAGAAGAAAGGGGAAGCTGGTAGCTGTGGATATATGGTAAAAGCTTGGGAATGGTCAGAAAGCAGTAACAGATGCAGACAAATCTGTAGGCTGCAGAAAATGTTGATTTTGATAATCTTGGGAAGAAAAGATATATTGAAAGTTAGGCTCATCAGCTGGAAAGCAGTAGAGTTGTTGACCATGATTCAGGAAAAGCAGCCACTGCCAATAAATACTTCTGTTCTATTTTTGGGAGCCATATTATGTGGTGATGAACTTTTCCATCCCCACAGATATTAAACAAAATGTTAAACAGCAGTTACTAATGCTAGACACTTCAAAATTAGCAAGTCCAGATAATAGCATCTTTTTCTTCAAAAACACTTTCAAGAGAGCTGGGTAAGGAACTTTACACATGGTTGATCTTGATTTCCAATATACTTGGACAATCAGAGTCAACAAAAAAAATGTACCAATATTTTGAAAGAATAAAGTGGATAATCTAGGTAATTGTAAACCTATCAATCCAAGATTGCTCTCCAGCACAATAATAAAATGGCTTATAAAGAAAACAATTCATCTAGAATTAAAGATGGGGAACAGAATTTGGCAAATTAGTGTGGATTAGAGGAGAATAAATTTGCCATCTTGATATTTTCAGTGATAATGAACAACAATATTGCTGTAATAAGTTGCTTTATTCTCTGATTTCAGAAAAGCATTTGAGTTGGTATTACTTGAGGTTTTGATCAAGAAGCAAGGATAATACCAACGCAGTACAGGACTCGAGCAGCACGAAACCCATTATAGTGAGAGGTCTCAAATGTACAAGCAAACATGAGAATATTGTCTAACAAGTCTGGTTTCAGCATGGTCCTTTTTGAAATCTGTCACTGGGTTTTCTGCTACTCAATTTTTCCTCCATGTCATAGAAAAATCCCTTGAAATCATCCCTTAGAGTTTGCTGGTGACCAAGATCTGAGGGACTGATAAATTTAACAGGGCAGCATACTCACACAGGGCAATCTGGATTGCCTGGATACAATAGCCAAGGTGAGGCAACATATTTGGAAACAAAATAAAGGCAGTATTTACAGGACAGGGGCAATTCGGCCTCGGAAAGAGATCTCTGCTCATCGCCAGCTCAATGGAAGTGCCTAGAGCCATCTGTTGTGGTTCACATAACTCTCAGGAGCATCTTGAAATGAGAAAACAGGTACCAGGCTGCTGTAAGACCTTACTCTGTGCTGATGTTGACATATATTTAAGAAAGACATTGGATAGCTGAAAACGCATAGGAGAAAAGCCACGAGCCTTATGAAAGAACTGGGAGATGTTTTTTTTCAACATAGGATACTTCTGGAGAGTAATCGATTTAATTTATCCTAGGACAGGAGAAGGAAGGAGTTGAGTATGTGCTGCAAGGACGTATTCAAGAAACAGGGACACTGGTGATGGGACAATCCCGGTGGCAGAAGACGTTCTAGGGGCTGAAAGCAGGCAAGTTCAGATGAGTAAGAAGCTGCACATACTTGACTTGTAGTGACTGCAACTGCTGCAGTCAAGCAGCACAGCACGACCAAACACACTCCCGTCGGGAGGCAAATCTCTGCAGGTAATGGCAAAGCAAAAGCTGTGAGCAGATCTGATGAACGGAGAGCAGGAACGGGAGCTATTCCAGTGAGTCTGGCAACGGAGGGGAAAGCTATGACTGAAAAGATGAAATTGCAATGCAAAGGCACTGCAGGAGTATCCAAGGGTGTGAAGATTGAGTAATATATCTAGACTGATGTGCGTGGCATTTACCTAGTAGTTATTTGCCATCTCTAGTCACTGATTTCAGTCCTTCATTCTTTAAACGCAGCAAATCATTCAGGGGAAGGAAGATTCAGCAAAAACCTGTGAATGCAGTTAACTGATTGAGGTATTTTCTTTCCTCTCACATATGAGGCGCCAGAATCTCACTGCCTGTCTAAGCAAGAGAAACTTCTGATGTTCAGACAATAGAACTGTGGAAACTTGATTCTTAAAATAGCATGAAGGAGGAAAAAAAAAAAGACATGTAAAATATAAACCTGTGCTTGAGGAGCAGAACTTTCCTCTTCTCTCTTTTGTAAGAGGAAAGAATTACTCCTTTGTACCCCCTGATACTTCAAGCTCTTTCAGATGAGATTTAATCACTCAAGAGAGCTGTTTAGAGTTTTTGTTCAAGAATTCATGCAACTAAGAGAGAAGCAGGTGCCACTTCAGAGCCTTATGTTACGATAATTGCAAGGACAAAGAGAGGCAAAGAAAAAGATCTGCATGTTCCCCGACAGTCCTAACTGTGCCTGAAAGTACTTGCTCCCCAAAGTAATCCCCTACTTACCCCAGATACTTCATGACTTACTGGTGGCATTCAGTAAGAGGTAGCCAACTGCAACAGACTCTCTAATTATAGCATGACCTGTTGCTAATTACCGTTTGATGAGCCCACTGCTGTTGTATTATCACGCTAAATAAATAATATCCACTCTCCTCTGGCGGTGTTTACAGAGCTGATTTCCCACTCAGCCTTGACTCAAAGCCGTAAACAGTCCCCCAGTGACACCAGCTGCTCCAGTCGGACCCCGCGGGTGGGAGCTCTGCCTCACACATTCGTTAGTGGCGAGGGACGGACACACGTGCTGAGCAAATGTGACAGCCACCACCTTGGCCAGCAAACGGCCAGCTCGGCTGAGGTCCTCAGGAGCTGGAAGCGTGGACCGACATGGCTGCAAGGGAGGTGCTGAGGGTCCCACGCGCCCCAGAGCAGGACCGTCTCCAAACACCATGTTTTCAAGGCAATGTACCAGTATTGTCAAACACCAGATGTTTCATCCCACCATAAGCATTTTGGGAAGAGTGTTGATCAAATCTGGCTGCCGGGTCCAGCCCTGCATGCTTTCCAGTCCAGACACTTTCCCCAGTGACCTGCTTAGACTGAAGGATCACAGCCCTTCCAGACCATCTCCTGCTGAGGCTGGAAGGTCCAGCTCATATTCTGCCTCTCTGAAGCTACCACTGCCAGGAGGCTTTTAAACGCAGGCTTCACTTGGCCACCGTTTCTCGATGCCCGATCTCCCACCCCCTCATTGCCCAAGCAAGAATAACACGCCATTTAATTTTGAAATTTTCAGAAAGAAACTTCTAAAAGTCATCTTGAAAGCATTTTGCAATTCTCACGAGCAATTTAAGAAGATTGGAAATTTCCACTTTTAATTCCCAAGTACAAAGAATCTCTGACTTTCTGGCAGTTATAGCCACCCCTGTGAAGATTCCAGCAAATAAATTAACTGGTTAGAAAACTCATGGGAACAGCAAATTTTTGACTGAATATTGTGCACTACCTATTATTAAGTTCTGAATTTGCAATGGCAAGAACTAGCAATGAAAATCTGGTTTGGTCATTAAAATAGTCCAACTGGGCAAAGGAATCAACAGCGTGTGACTCCTGGATCCCATGAAACTTAGGAAAA